GAGGGAATGGGGATTTTGCAATAACCTTCCCTCAGGAGTAGGAGGGAATGGAGATTTTGCAATAACCTTCCCTCAGGAGTGGGGAGGGAATGGGGATTTTGCAGTATCCTTCCCCCAGGAGTAGGGAGGGAATGGGGATTTTGCAATAACCTTCCCCTGGAGTGGGGAGCAAATGGAGATTTTGCAGTATCCTTCCCCTGGAGTTGGGAGGGAATGAAGGTTTTGCAATATCCTTCCTCCAGGAGTGGGGAGGGAATGGGAATTTTGCAGTAGCCTTCCCCTGCCACGCCCACCAAGCCACACCACGCCCACCAAGCCACGTGCCCACAGAACCAGTAGCAAAAAAAAATTTAGATTTCACCACTGCCCTAAAGATCTCTGATCTGGCACCAAGTGGACTTCTTAAGGTGCAGATCTTCAGGCAAGAACATCTGAAGGAAGATCTAGAAGCCACTTGGTCTAATCAGAGTGGATCTTACGATCACCCTGGTTCAGAAGGCACCTTCTGGGCCCAAAATGGGTTCGCCTTTTAGGGAATCGGTCCATCTCCAATCCAATGAGCTACCAAGAAGGGAAAAAAACGTGACTTGTAGTAATTTTACGGAGATGTCCATGCATTCCTCCAGGCACCAAAACAGAAGGAGGTTACTATGGCTGTGTTCTAGGACAGGGGTCTCCAACCTTGGCAAGTTTAAGCCTGGCGGACTTCAACTCCCAGAACCTGGCGGACTCTTCAACTCTGGCTGGGGAATTCTGGGAGTTGAAGTCCGCCAGGCTTAAATTTGCCAAGGTTGGAGACCCTTGTTCTAGGAGAGTGATGGCTAACCTTTTTGCCATCGTGTGCCAAAAGCGGGGGGAGTGCGGAGGGGGGGGATGTGTGGGAGGTCGCGCGTGAGCATGCCAACACCCATAATTATATGCGCCCCGCCCCCGCACATGTGCACACTCCTCCCCCGCTCCTCCCGCACTTCCGTTTTTTGCTCTCCCTAGAGCCGTGATGGCGAACCTATGGCACGGGTGCCACAGGTGGCACGCGGAGCCATATCGGTGGGCACGCGAGCTCAGCTTCAGCACGCATGTGTGTGCCAGCCAGCTGATTTTCGGGCCTTCTGGGCTCACCAGAAGTCAGGAAACACACTGTTTCCGGCCTCCGGAGGGCCTCTGAGGGGGTGGGGAAGGCTGTTTTTGCCCTCCCCAGGCTCCTAGAAAGGCTCTGGAGCCTAGGGAAAGCAAAAAACGGGCCTACCGGGCCCACTGTGCCATCACATGCCAAAAGTGGGGTGGGGCACATAGAATTTTGGATGTGGGCACGCGTGCATGTGACCCCACCGTGCTCCCTCCGCTTTTGGCACACGATGGCAAAAAGGTTAGCCATCACTGCCCTAGAGCCTCTCTAGGAGCCTGGGGAGGGCAAAAACAGCCTTCCTCACCCCCCCCCAGAGGCCCTCCGGAGGCCGGAAACTGCCCGTTTACCAACTTCCAGTGGGACCAGAAGGCCTGGTTTTTTTTGCTCTCCTCAGACTCCAGAGCCTCTCTAGGAGCCTGGGGAGGGCAAAAACAGCCTTCCTCACCTCCCCGGAGGCCGGAAACTGCCCATTTACCAACTTCCAGTGGACCGGAAGGCCCGTTTTTTTTGCTCTCCTCAGACTCCAGAGCCTCTCTAGGAGCCTGGGGAGGGTGAAAACGGCCTTCCTCACCCCCCCCAGAGGCCCTCCGGAGGCCGGAAACTGCCCGTTTACCAACTTCCAGTGGGACCGGAAGGCCCGTTTTTTTGCTCTCCTCAGACTCCAGAGCCTCTCTAGGAGCCTGGGGAGGGTGAAAACGGCCTCCCCCCACCGTCCCAGGCTCTCTGGAGGCAGGAAACAGCCTGTTTCCCTACTTCTGGTGGGCTCAGAAGGCCCGAAAATCAAGTGGAGCTGAGCTCGGGTGCCCACCCATATGGCTCCGCGTGCCACCTGTGGCACGCGTGCCATAGGTTCGCCATTACGGTTCTAGAAGGTTCCATGAGCTTCTTGGTCTACTCATCAGCCCTGAGATTTCCAAGATTTCACAACGGCTTCTCTTTTTCGAGTACGGTCCAGGTTGATTAAACGCCGTCCCACCGGCCCCAACGAAGTGGACTTCTGGTGGACAAAGTGGACCTTTTCAGCTTGCCATCAGGTCCAGCTCGGCCCCATCCCTCAGGGACCCCAACATTGTTTCTGGAGGGGATCATAAAAAAGAGTTGGGGGGGGGGCAAGGAACCCTTTCAAATCTTTGAGAGGCATCTCAGGAGCTTCTGCAAAAGGGACTGATGGAAGGTCATTGGAGATACGGAGGATCCCGGATCTGCGCACTTTCCGCCGTGTTTTGAAGACACTCCTATTCCAGCAGGCTGGCCTGGCCTAATTTTCTCCCCTTCTTTTAAATTTTTAAATTGAAATTTTAATTTGTTTTAAATTATTGGGAGTTTTAATTGTCTCGGGCAAAAATTATTTAATTGGGTTTTAATCATGTTTTTTAACTTTTGTACTTATGTGTTTTATTTTGTGCCTGTTCACTGCCCTGAGTCCTTCGGGAGTAGGGCGGTATACAAATTTAATAAAATGAAAAATGAAAAATGAAAAATTGTGAAGGAGACCTGTCCGATGCAGCTGTCCGCACTATCCAAAGTTTGTTAGGATAAGTTTTTTTTGTGTGGCCTCCCACTAAAGAGAACAAGCATTAAATAAGAGATTCCATGCCTGTTAGAACTTAACGTGCCTTCCCTAATTATTAGCTGCATTAAAGGTAAAGGTTCCCCTCGCACATACGTGCGAGTCGTTCCCGACTCTAGGGGGCGGTGCTCATCTCCGTTTCAAAGCCGAAGAGCCAGCGCTCTCCAAAGACGTCTCCGTGGTGACGTGGCCGGCATGACTCAATGCCAAAGGCGCACGGAACGCTGTTACCTTCCCACCAAAGGTGGTCCCTATTTTTCTACCTGCATTTTTTACCTGCTTTCGAACTGCTAGGTTGGCAGAAGCTGGGACAAGTCACGGGAGCTCATCCCGTTACGCGGCGCTAGGGATTCGAACCGCTGAACTGTCGGCCTTTCGATCGACAAGCTCAGCGTCTTAGCCACTGAGCCACCCCTGTATTAGCTGCATTACCGGGCTGTCAAGTTTCTACCTTTATCAGAATCAAACAGAAAAAATCCTGAGCTTTAAAGCAGGTGTTGTAGCTGTTTGGGTGCCATTTAACCAAACCGGGTGCCTCTTAAAGACTGCAAAACGATAACCATAACTTTCTTTCGGCGTTGTGTTATTGGCAAGTTTCGAACAGAAGGCGAGTCTGGCTTGTGACTCCAATCTTTCCTTGGATTTTTGCAAGAAAGATTTTTTTAAAAAAAATCTTGCAGTCTTCGACGTGCTGTTCAGGATTTATTTTATTTATTTATTATTTATTAATAATAAAGGATGTGTGGAACGGGTGGCTGGCAGTTAAAATGAGCTTTAAATGTGGACATTTCGTCCCCTATCGAAGGTGTTTTTGGGGTGGGGTGGGTTTTCCCAATCTTACATGAGAGATCATTGTTAGTGGGCCAGGTTGTTATTCTTGGGTTTCTCCGTAAGTAGCCAACTGAATACGGATTGATAGAGGAGAATATTGGTAGCTCAGGGTTGAAATGAGGGGGTCCTGGGAGCTTGGTTGTTTTCTTGAAGACGTTTCATCACCCATCTAGGTAACATCATCAGTGCCAGAAGGGAGTGGGGGTTTTAGCACTGATGATGTTGCCTAGTTGGGTCAGGAAACGTCTGCAAGAAAAACACCAAGCTCAGAAAGCACCAAGGACCCCACAGTTCTTCTCTTCCTCTTCCTCCTCCTCCTCCTCCCACTCCCTTCTAGCACTGATGATGTTACTTAGTTGGGTCATGAAACGTCTGTAAGAAAAACACCGAGCAGCAAGTACCAAGGATCCCACAGTTCTTCTCCTCCTCCTCCTCCTCCTCCTCCTCCTCCTCCTCCTCCTCCTCCTCCTCCTCCTCCTCCTCCTCCTCCTCCTCCTCCTCCTCCCACTCCCTTCTAGCACTGATCATGTTACTTAGTTGGGTCATGAAACGTCTGCAAGAAAAACACCAAGCTCAGAGAGTACCAAGGACCCCACAGTTCTTCTCCTCCTCCTCCTCCTCCATCTCCTCCTCCTCCTCCCACTCCCTTCTAGCACTGATGATGTTACTTAGTTGGGTCATGAAACGTTTGTAAGAAAAACACCAAGCTCAGAGAGTACCAAGGACCCCACAGTCCATTTCCTCCTCCTCCTCCTCCTCCTCCTCCTCCTCCCCCTCCTCCTCCTCCTCCTCCTCCTCCTCCTCCTCCTCCTCCTCCTCCCACTCCCTTCTAGCACTGATGATGTTACCTAGTTGGGTCAGGAAACATCTGCAAGAAGCAACCAAGCTCAGAGCACCAAGTTCTCCTCCTCCTCCTCCTCCTCTGCTTCCACCTCCTCTCCACAAACCCCACTCCCTTCTAGCACTGATGATGTTACCTAGCTGGGTCACGAAATGCCTGCAAGAAAACCACCAAGTTCAGAGATCAACAAGGGCCCCAGTCCTCTCCTCCTCCTCCTCCTCTCCTCCCTTCTAGCACTGATGATGTTACCTAGTTGGGTTAGGAAACATCTGCAAGAAAACCACCAAGCTCAGAGAGTATCAAGGACCTCACAGCCGTTCCCCCCTCCTCTCCAGAAATCCCCCTCCTTTCTAGCACTGACGATGTTACTTAGTTGGGTCATGAAATGTCTTCAAGAAAGCCACCAAACTCAGCGAGCTTCAAGGACTCCCAAATTTGGATTTAAAGCCAAAACTTTGTTGGGTCACTGGAGGGCCTAACCGGAGAACAATGATTCCCATGTTTGATCCCTTCTAGGGGGGAAGATAATCAGCTCTCCTGAACCAGAGATAAAATACGGCCGTGCCAACACTTGCTCAACCAGTCTAATGACCGACCCCTGAAATGTGCGAGGCCGAAGCCGTCCTACTTACCGAACGACAGGACGAAAAAGAACGGCAGCCAGCAGAGAATGAAGACCCCGACCACGATGGCCAATGTCTTGGCTGCCTTCTTCTCCCTGGAGAACTTCAAAAGCCGGACTGAGAGAGAGCTTCTGAAGGTATGTCTCTTGGTGCTGGCCAACGAATCCTCCAAGACGTTCCGGCAATGGATCCTAAGCACCACTTCCATGGATTTGTTCCGTTCTTTCTTGACCCCGGCTTCGAGGCTCTTGGTGGTCCTCCTGGCCACCACGTAGATGTTGAAGTACATCACCAGGATGACCAAGAGGGGCAAGTAGAAGGAGAAGAGCGACGAGAAGAGGGCATAGCCGGGTTCTTCTGTGATGGTGCAGAACTCCTCGCTTTCGGGAGGCTCTTCCTTCCAACCCAAGAGGGGCCCGATGGAGATGACCATGGAGGAGAGCCAGACCACCCCCAAGATAACCACGGCCTTCTTCTCCGTCATAATGGTGGGGTACTTGAGAGAATACTTGACCCCGATGTACCGGTCCACCGAGATGATGCACAAGCTCATGATGGAAGCGGTGCAACACAGGACGTCCACGGCGGCCCAGATGTCGCAGAAGATGCGGCCGAAGACCCACAGATCCAGGACCTCCAAGGTAGCCGAGAAGGGCAGGACGGTAGTGCTGAGGAGCAAGTCCGCGATGGCCAGGTTGATGATGAAGTAGTTAGTGACCGTCCGCAAGTGCCGGTTGCAGGCCACCGAGAGGATGACCAAGATGTTGCCCACGATCGCCAAGAGGATGAAGATGGCTAGGAAGACCCCGACGCCCACCGACTGCAGGCTCAGTCCCTGAGTTACGGAGGCGCTGGTGTTGGAGAAGGCATCTTCTCTGCTCAAGGACCCGTTAATCCCACCGGCTTCTCCTGTGTGGTTCCCATTCAAGCTGGCATTAATCCGGTCAGTGAAAGTCATTCTTTTTCAAAACGGCTCAGTCTCCATCGGGGACGGAGGCTCAGCAGCGCAACGGGGAGAGGGGCCGGCTTGTCTCTCCCACCGCTCCCCTACTGCATCCCGGGAGGAAGGTTGACCCCTGCTGAAAAATCCCGAAGCCCCCTCCCCTTTTTTAAAGCATATGGAGATAGTCCCTTCCTTCCTTCTTCCCTAATCTATCTATCTTTCTTTCTTTCTTTCTTTCTTTCTTTCTTTCTTTCTTTCTTTCTTTCTTTCTTTCTTTCTTTCTTTCTTCTTTCTTTCTTTTTCTTTCTTTCTTTCTTTCTTTCTTTCTTTCTTCTTTCTTTCTTTCTTTCTTTTCTTTCTTTCTTTCTTTCTTTCTTTCTTTCTTTCTTTCTTTCTTTCCCCCACTATCTCCCTCCCTTAGCAGACAGTTCCTGCAAAGGTCGACTCTGTCTTAACATCGCTCACCGCTTCCTCGGTCTCCAGCCACGCATCCCTGGCAGATTTATTCCACAAAGGAGCTGGATCTCAAGAAACTCACCTTGCCTGGCTTCCCCCAATCTCCGTGCCTTCAGGCATCTATTCTCCTTTCTCTTTGGGGTATAACAAACCTTAAGGCACCCCCCCACCCCTCCGTCGTGCTCTCCAAATCCAAATCTGGAATATTTGACAGCAGCAGAACTCTTTGGGTTATTCTGAGGGCCTTTCCATGATCTGGGAGAGGGAAAGGAAGGGAAGGGAAAGGAAAGGAAGAAAAGGAAAAAAAGGAGAGGAAAGAAGGAAGGAAGGAAAGTGAAGCAGAAGAGAAAGAAAAGATAAAGTGGGTGAAACGATGGAAGGAGGGAAGGAAGGAAAAAAGGAAAGGAGAAAGGAAGGAAGGAAGGAAGGACAAGCCCGAGGGAAAGAAAGGATAAGGTGGGTGAAATGAAGGAAGGAAAGACAAGCACAACAGAATGGAAGGATAAAATAGGTGGATGGGTGAGTGGAAGGAAGGAAGGACAAGCACAAAGGAAAGAAGGAAGGAAAAAGGAAAGAAGGAAGGAAGGACAAGCACAAAGGAAAGAAGAAAGAAAAAAAGGAAAGAAGGAAGGAAGGAAGGAAGGAAGGACAAGCCCAAGGGAAAGAAAGGACAAAGTGGGTGAAACGAAGGAAGGAAAGATAAGCACAGAAGAAAGGAAGGATAAAATGGGTGAGCTAACGGAAGGATGAACGGAAGGACAAGCACAAAGGAAAGAAAGGATAAAGCGGGTGCAATAACGGATGGCTGGATGGAAGGAAGGAAGGAAGGACAAGCGCAAAGGAAAGAAAGGATAAAATGGGTGAAATAATGGAAGGAAGGAAAGACAAGCACAAAGGAAAGAAAGGATAAAATGGGTGAAATAATGGAAGGAAAGAAGCAGAAGCACAAGGGAAAGGAAAGATCAAGTGGGTGAAATAATAGTGGGCAGGAAGGGAAAGAAAGAAAGAAAGAAAGAAAGAAAGAAAGAAAGAAAGAAAGAAAGAAAGAAAGAAAGAAAGAAAGAGACTCTTCACTCCTTCCCGGTCTCCCTCAAAGCCTCCTTCATCCCGCAAAAAAAAGAAAAGAAAAAGAAAAAGAACCGGCGCGACCCTCCGGACAGCGAAGCGGGCTCAATCCGGCGCCTGCCAAGCCCGGGCGAGGCCGCTCCGGTGCAGCGCGGGGGTCTCGGGGGCAGCGTGGCGGCCGGCCGGCCGGGCGAGGCGAGGCGAGGCGTTGCGGGGCTGGCGGAGCGGAGGGTCCCCGCCGCGTTTCTCAGCGGAGCAGCCGGGCGGGAGGCGGGCGGAGCTTCAGCCCGAAAATAGCTCCATTGAAGGATTCCCAGGCGCTGCCACCACCGGCCGCCCCCGGCAGACGCTAGAGGGCAGCAAAGAGACGGCGGGCCGGCCGGAGCTGCCGCAGCGCCCGCAGCCGCCGAACCGATTGGGAAGAAACAACAAGAGCCGGGAAGGGACCTTCGAGGTCATCTAGACCAACCCCCCCTCTGCCCAACACACACACACACACACACACACACACACACACACACACACACAGGCGGAGAGTGGCTCATAACAGGGGGGGAAAAAGACACAGCTGGAAGGGACCTTCGAGGTCATCTAGCCCAACCCCCCCTCTGCCCAACACACACGCGCGCACACACACACACACACACACACACACACACACACACAGGGGGGGAGAGTGGCTCATAACAGGGGGAAAAAAAACACAGCTGGAAGGGACCTTCGAGGTCATCTAGCCCAACCCCCCTCTGCCCAACACACACGCGCGCGCACACACACACACACACAGGGAGAGTGGCTCATAACAGGGGGGGGAAAAGACACAGCTGGAAGGGACCTTCGAGGTCATCTAGACCAACCCCCCTCTGCCCAACACACACACACACACAGGCGGAGAGTGGCTCATAACAGGGGGAAAAAAAAGACACAGCTGGAAGGGACCTCAGAGGTCATCTAGTCCAACCCCCCTCTGCTCAACACACACACACACACACACACACACACACACACACACACACGGAGAGTGGCTCATAACAGGGGGAAAAAAAAGACACAGCTGGAAGGGACCTTCGAGGTCATCTAGACCAACCCCCCTCTGCCCAACACACACACACACACACACACAGGCGGAGAGTGGCTCATAACAGGGGGAAAAAAAAGACACAGCTGGAAGGGACCTCAGAGGTCATCTAGTCCAACCCCCCCTGCCCAACACACACATACACACACACACACACACACACAGCGGGGGAGAGTGGCTCATAACAGGGGGAAAAAAAGACACAGCTGGAAGGGACCTTCGAGGTCATCTAGCCCAACCCCCCTCTGCCCAACACACACGCGCGCACACACACACACACACAGGGAGAGTGGCTCATAACGGGGGGGAAAAGACACAGCTGGAAGGGACCTTCGAGGTCATCTAGACCAACCCCCCTCTGCCCAAACACACACACACACACACAGGCGGAGAGTGGCTCATAACAGGGGGAAAAAAAGACACAGCTGGAAGGGACCTCAGAGGTCATCTAGTCCAACCCCCCCTCTGCTCAACACACACACACACACACACACACACACACACACACACACACACACGGAGAGTGGCTCATAACAGGGGAAAAAAAAAGACACAGCTGGAAGGGACCTTCGAGGTCATCTAGACCAACCCCCCTCTGCCCAACACACACACACACACACACAGGCGGAGAGTGGCTCATAACAGGGGGAAAAAAAAGACACACCTGGAAGGGACCTCAGAGGTCATCTAGTCCAACCCCCCCTCTGCTCAACACACACACACACACACACACACACACACACACACACACGGAGAGTGGCTCATAACAGGGGGGAAAAAAAGACACAGCTGGAAGGGACCTTCGAGGTCATCTAGACCAACCCCCCTCTGCCCACACACACACACACACACACACACACACACACACACACACACACACAGGCGGAGAGTGGCTCATAACAGGGAGAAAAAAAAGACACAGCTGGAAGGGATCTTCGAGGTCATCTAGCCCAACCCCCCCTCTGCCCAACACACACACACACAGGGAGAGGAATGTGCAGAAGCGAGATAAAAAAAAAATAGAGGTTAGCCTATGAAATAATGCCAAAGCTTCAAGGGTCCAATCGCTTCTTGAAAAGCTCCAGGGATGGAGGCAGCCACAACTTCAGGTCTTCGGCTGGGAGGGCAGAGAGTGGCTCATAACAGGGGGAAGGGACCTTCGAGGTCATCTAGTCCAACCCCCCTGCTCAAGGAGGAGAGCCTCTCCAGTTCCAGACAAGCGGCTGTCCGTCTCTTGAAAAAACTCCAGTGCTGGAACCCTTCCTTCCTTCTTTCCTCCATTTCTCTTCTTCCCTCCCTCCCTCCCTCCCATTGTATCTACTTTTATCCTTTCATTTTCTTTTGCTTGTCCTTCCTTCCTCCCTCCCTCTCTCCCTCCATTTCTCTCCTTCCTTCCTTCCCTCCCTCCCTCCCTTCCATTATATCTTTTATCCTTTCATTTGCTTTTTTGTCCTTCCTTCCTTCCTTCCTTCCTTCCTTCCTTCCTTCCTTCCTTCCTTCCTTCCTACACTCCCTCTCTCTCCCTCTCTCTCTTCCTTCCATTATATCTACTTTTATCCTTTCATTTGCTTTTTTGTCCTTCCTTCCTTCCTTCACTCCCTCCCTCTCCCTTTCTCCTTTCCTTCCATTATATCTACTTCTATCCTTTCATTTGCTTCTGCTTGTCCTTCCTTCCTTCCTTCCTTCCTTCCTTCCTTCCTTCCTTCCTTCCTTCCTTCCTCCCTCCCTCCCTCCCTCCCTCCATTTCTCTCCTTCCTTCCCTCCCTCCCTTCCATTATATCTTTTATCCTTTCATTTGCTTTTTTGTCCTTCCTTCCTTCCTTCCTTCCTACACTCCCTCTCTCTCCCTCTCTCTCTTCCTTCCATTATATCTACTTTTATCCTTTCATTTGCTTTTTTGTCCTTCCTTCCTTCCTTCACTCCCTCCCTCTCCCTTTCTCCTTTCCTTCCATTATATCTACTTTTATCCTTTCATTTGCTTCTGCTTGTCCTTCCTTCCTTCCTTCCTTCCTTCCTCCCTCCCTCCCTCCCTCCATTTCTCTCCTTCCTTCCCTCCCTCCCTTCCATTATATCTTTTATCCTTTCATTTGCTTTTTTGTCCTTCCTTCCTTCCTTCCTTCCTTCCTTCCTTCCTTCCTTCACTCCCTCCCTCTCCCTCTCTCCCTTCCTTCCATTATATCTACTTTTATCCTTTCATTTGCTTCTGCTTGTCCTTCCTTCCTTCCTTCCTTCCTTCCTTCCTTCCTCCCTCCCTCCATTTCTCTCCTTCCTTCCCTCCCTCCCTTCCTTCCATTATATCTACTTTTATCCTTTCATTTGCTTCTGCTTATCCTTCCTCCCTCCCTCCCTCCATCCCTCCCTCCATTTGTCTCCTTCCTTCCTTCCTTCCTTCCTTCCTTCCTTCCTTCCTTCCTTCCTTCCTCCTTCCTTCCTTCCTTCCTCCCTTCCTTCCATTATATCTACTTTTATCCTTTCATTTGCTTCTGCTTATGCTTCCTTCCTCCCTCCCTCCCTCCATTTGTCTCCTTCCTTCCCTCCCTCCCTCCCTCCCTCCCATTATATCTACTTTTATCCTTTCATTTTCTTCTGCTTATCCGGCCTTCCTTCCTTCCTCCCCCCTCCCTCCCTCCCAGGGAAGCTGCCTAGATATTATTTTTTGAAATAAAAATAACCTCTTTGGCCAATTTTTTTGAAGGCAAGGTAATAATCCTTGCTGGGACCA